GATTTACATATTACACCAATTTTGTGTTTACATATAGAGTAGCACTATAGTGATATAGATCTACACTAATATTCCCTAATAAATATATATATAATATAATGCAGTAATATAAAAATCTTAATATATACTAAAAATAAGGTTAAATAAATTAGATAGATATATATTTGTAGATAAAATAGGTATAAACTAAGTTTTACTAATTATATACTATAATTATTATATTATTTGTAATTATAAAATTATATATAATAAAAACTTATAACAAAAGATATTTGTTATTTTTAAAAAAAATCATATTAAAATTGATATATATAAGAGAATTTTGATATATAAAAATTTATAAAAATTTGTTTTGTAGCTTAGATTGATATTAACAAGATTGATATTAATAGAGATATAATCTATATTTATAATACTACAAAAAATATATATTAAATATTATAGCAAACATTGTTTAGCTATTTAAATATTTTAAAACAATAAATAAAATTTTAAATAAATTTTATTTTTTTTATATTATTATTCATATAATATACAAAAATAATTTTTTTTTTTGTCATACTAAATTTAATATAGCAAAAATTTTAAATAAAAACAATAATTTGTAATTAATAAATTTTAAAAATTTTATAAAAATATTAAGTTAGATTTAAAAAATAGATAAATATATTTGGTGCAGAGGTACACATGGTGCACCCTAATAAAATTTTGATATCAAAGGGTGCACCGAGTGCAGGATGCACCAAAAATAAATGCTCTTAAAAATATATTTTTAAATTTTAAAAAATTTACTTTATATTTAATTCTAAAAAAATGTTTTTATATTAAATTTAATATATTAAACAAATAAATACCTATATATTAATTAAAATGCGTACCAATTATAAATCTTTTAAAATTGCTTTATAAACATATAATATATCAAAATGGTAATATGATCTGTAATTACTTTACCTTAACACTACATATATATACTTGTTTTAGACAGATAACACGAACTAAAAATAATGAACTATATTTAAAATCAATTCATAATATAGAAAGCTATTTCATATGTACGTACATACAAACTACATAGTTTAAAATGTAATACTAAGAAAAATTATAAAACTTCTATAGTACTTTCAAACCAACTATAGTGATTTTAAATATAATGAACCATAATTTTGGACTAATCCTAAATTGGATATATTCTAACATAGCAACCAATGATTTTATCAACTATAGACAAAATATATATATATTTTTAGGTGATAAATTATTTAGGTTTTAAGGCTTTAACAATCATTAGTTTTATACCGTTCAACGAAAATTCGCGTTGTTCGATTGCGGATTCGTAAGAAGTTTTATCCGCGAATTCTATGAATGCGCATTTCTAAAATATGCATGAGTAAATAAAGCAAATTGAAACAATACATTCACCAGACCCACAATATGTCATTGCCGACTTACTCGCTCTTGAATCATCTCAATCCATAAAACTTTCCCAAATGTCTCTTCGACACACTGCCGTAATTTTAATTCATCAATATCTTTAGTTAAACCGCTGACATAGGTTCTGTGCATTCCAATGCCACTAAGGAAATCGGGTAAATATGGAATATATCCGTCTTATATATTATTGAATGTATCAGATCGTGATTAAAAGATTATAGCTGATTTCACGCAATAAGTATATAGAAAAGACGTTTAACTTACTCTTGGCTTCAAACCCTCGATGACTTTCGTGACTATTCAGATCTGCAACGATTCTCAAATGAGCAATAAATCATAAAGCAGATAACTCAATAAAAAAAAAACATTTTACATACATTTTGATTCAAATCTCCATTGATTAATTTGGCCATACATATCTATAAAAAAAAAAATAAATAAATAAACAATTTGACAAAGAAATGTATATATATATATATATATATACATAACATAAGAAAACCATACCTTCATTATGAACA